TCTCTCTCTCTCTCTCTCTCTCTCTCTCTCCCCCTCTCCCTCTCTCTCTCTCTCTCTCTCTCTGTGTGTGTGTGTGTGTGTGTGTTTGGTTGTTTGTTAGTGCTAAGAATCAAACAGGGACATGCATGTTAGCTAAGTTTGCCTCCCTAGCACTGAGCGATGTTTCACCCTCCCCTCCTCAAATTTTTATTTATTTTTTGGAGATCGGACCTCTCATGATTCAGGTTGGCTTCAACTCACTATACAGCTGAAACTGTCCTTGAACTCCTAATACTCTGCTTCTGCCTCCTAAGTACTGGGATTACAGGCACGGGCCATCATGCCTGATTCCCGCTCCCCCCCCCACCCTTTGTGAGACAGGGTCATTATATATAGCTTAGGCTGACTTTGACCTTGTGATTTTTCTTGAGCCTCTTGAGTGCTAAGATTACAGGTGTGTACTACCCTTCCTGGCTATCACTTAACATGCTAAATGTGTTCTGTGTGCCACCGTTTTGTCTGTACTTCGGACCAAACTTTGTTCTTGTTTTGGAAAAGCTGAATGGAGTAAGCATGAAGTAGGTTCTAAGACCTAGCCCCAATAATTAGATAGTTTGCTTTTCATCTAGCATATTTGAAGAGGCTTTCCATGGTAGCTATTCAGGATGCTGAAGCAGGAGGCTAGCTTAAGCCCTGGTGGGCAACACAGAAAGATCCTGTCTCACTCTCGCTCTCTTTATTTCTTGTTTTTTCGAGACAGGGTTTCTCTGTGGCTTTGGAGTCTGTCCTGGAACTAGCTCTTGTAGACCAGGCTGGTCTTGAGCTCATAGAGATCTGACTGCCTCTGCTGCCTCGAGTGCTGGGATTAAAGGGGTAGGCCACCACCGCCCGGCCAATCCTGTCTCTTAAAAGATAAAAGAACACACGTGTATATACATACATACCTTGTGGATAACAGTTCCTCCAGCTACTGTTCATGACAGTTTTGTCTGATTGCAGTTGGCTGCATCTTGATTAAAGTTTGTCTTATTGAAAAAGTAGTGATTTTTCTTCTATGTGCTAAACTGAGGTACTGATGTTAAAATTCAGTGTGACCAGGAAGTGGATCTCTCAGAGTCTTTATGATTCTTCATTATTTCTAGATCCTTCCCTCTTAACTACACTTAGAGCTGATGTTTATAGGAACTAGAAAAACATAGTGTTGGTGTCTGTGTTAATTGACATGCCTTATGCCAGCAGTCCAGTGCTAAGTTGAGACCCTGTCTTTAAAGAACAAATAAAATATTTACTTGCTTTGGGATATCTTGCTATATTATGAATGACTATTCTTTTTTTTTTTTTTTAAGATTTTATTATGTATATAACATTCTGCTTCCATGTATATCTGCACACCAGAAGAGGGCACCAGATCTCATAATAGATGGTTGTGAGCCACCATGTGGTTGCTGGGAATTGAACTCAGGACCTCTGGAACAGCAGTCAGTGCCCTTAACCTCTGAGCCACCTCTCCAGCCCCCTATGAATGTCTATTTCTTATTTTAAGAAATTAAGACGTTATAAAATGGATACGTATTTAATTTTATTACAAAAGTTTTTTTTTATTCCTACATTGTTCTATAAAATCGTATATCTTTTTGTGAGTCAGAACATATCTGCAAGATGGCTAAGGGTATTGGTAAGTGGAACCGAACAAATTAGGCCAATTGATAGATTTGGGATGACTTTTTTTTAGAACTGCGTGGAATAGCTTAATAAACCTTTTATTCAGGTTAATGTATGCTTCTTGCATGGTTTTGTTTTGGTTCTTTTTGTGGTTGTTTTGAGATAGAATCTCTTTATATAGTCTTGGGTGGTCTGGGGACTCACTGTGGGCAGGGCTGGCCAAAGATTTTCCTGCCTCTGTCTCCTAAGTGCTGGGATTAAAGGCAGACACCACCACCACTTGGCTTGATTTTGATTATTAAAGACACAGAATTCCTAAAAATGTTGCTAACTGGTAGGGGCAGCAGTCGTTATCTAGGGGTGTGATTGGGCAGCTTCTTGGAGTAGTACATCTCACAGTAAAGGAGGACAGTGTATGTATAACTCCTAGTTCTCTGAGTATCTGGATTTGCGATAAGAGACTCCCAGAGGTCTCCCTTCAGAGAGCAAAATCTGTGTCTCAGGGGGGAAGGAGATTAGTTGGTCTTTGCAAGATTGATTTATTTTTGTTGGTTTGTTTTTTGAGACAGGGTTTCTCTGTGTAGCTCTGGCAGTCTTGGAGCTCATGTTGTAGACAAGGCTGGCCTGGAACTCAAAAATCTGCCTGCCTCTGTCTCTCAAGTACTGGAATTAAAGGCGTGTGCCACCGCCACCACCTGGCACAAGATTGATTTTTACTTTATGTCTTATGAGTGTTTTGCTTGCATGCATGCTTACTACAGAAGCTAGAAGAGAGTGTTGGATCCCTTGGAACTGGAGTTACAGACATTTGTGAACCATCCTGTGGGTCCTGAGAGTCCTTTAGAAGAGCAGCAACATTCTTAACTGCTGAGCCATGTCTCCCATCACGGACTTTGCTTTCCTAGTTTAGAAAACAAGGGTCTATGAACATGTGTCATGATCAGAGAATAAGGCATGAAAAAGTTAATGTTGTTTTCATGTTTTACACAGGTTGTAAGCATCAATAATGTCTTTCATCTTTGAGTGGATCTATAATGGCTTCAGCAGTGTGCTTCAGTTCCTAGGTAAAGCCATTTTTATGGATTACATTATAGGTTGCAACTACATTTCCTCAAATAATTTCTATCTAAGGGGCCTTTGGTGGGAAGAACATTAAGACTTTCTTTTCTCTTGCAGGACTCTACAAGAAATCTGGAAAACTTGTATTCTTGGGTTTGGACAATGCAGGCAAAACCACTCTTCTTCACATGCTAAAAGATGACAGACTAGGCCAGCACGTACCAACACTACATCCCAGTAAGTTTCAGAATATCAGGTGATCTTTTGATGGTCAGTGTCATGTTAGAGGATGAATCCCCAGTTAATGTAGCCCAGTTACTAATTGAGGCCCCTGAAGCAGATTACGTTCAAGTTACTATGGACACACTCAGGTCACTTGCTCTACATCTTTGGAATCTCAGTCACTGACTTTGCTGACCAATTCTGTAGTGAGACACAACTCCCAGTCTGATCTTAGGCAGAAAACTTGGAGAAAAGGGAAATAGAAGCTTTTTTAGCCTAAGACTGTTTTCATTCCTGTACCTTTTTTTTTTTTTTTTTTTAATTTTTTCTTTGAAGATTTATTTATTGCCGGGCGGTGGTGGCGCATGCCTTTAATCCCAGCACTCGGGAGGCAGAGGCAGGGGGGGCTCTGTGAGGTAGAGACCAGCCCGGGCTTCAAGAACTAGTTCCAGGACAGCCTCCAAAGTCACAGGGAAACCCTGTCTCGAAAAACAAAAATAAATAAATAAATAAAAATTATTATGTATACAGTGTTCTGCCTGCATCTGTGCCTGCATACCAGAAGAGGGCACCAGATCTCATTACAGTTGTTTGTGAGCCACCATATGGGTACTGGGAATTGAACTCAGACCCACTGGAAGAGCGAACAGCCAGGGCTCTGAACCTCTTGAGCCATCTCTCCAGCCCCCTGTGCCCTTTTCGTTACAAAACGAAAATGTGATTACATTTGTGTTAGTATTGGTTTTCAGGACTAGCACTTGGACCTTTGGTTGGAAGTTTATTTATTTTTGCCTTTTTGGCACTTTCAGCCTCAGAAGAACTGACAATTGCTGGAATGACTTTTACTACTTTTGATCTTGGTGGACATGAGCAAGGTAAGAGACTGAGTGAGGATGTGTCATTTAACCTTTTAAAATTAAATGATTGTGTGTGCGTGTGCATGCTGTGATGCTGCTGTGGAGATTGGGAGACAACTTGGTGTAACCGGATACTTCTTTCCACCTTTACATGGTTTCTGGGGATCAAACTCAGGTCCTGAGTGAGCCGTCTCACCACCCCCTCCCCATTTTACCTTGTAAATTACTTGTCTTTAGGATTAGAGTTTTACTACTTCAGTGAAGTTATTTCATCTACTTTCTTTTTGAGACAGGTTTCATGTAGCCCAGGTTAGCCATGAATTCCTTCATCTCTGCTTTCACCTCCCAGTGTTAGGATTACAGGCATGCACCACCATGCCTGAGTTTTTCTAATTTGAATTGTATATTTTAAAAAGTGTAAATAATACAGGGAATTCTGATTGCTTAACAGAATTTGTACAGATTTGCTAGTCTCTTTAATACATAGTGTTATCTATTTTATGAATCATTTGTGAGAAGCTTTGTCTACTCAATGACATGTATTATTTAATAGTCGTGTTTTTGAGACAGGATCTCAATATATAGCTTTGGCTGGCCTGAAATTTTGTATAGATCAGACTGGCCTTAAAATGTCATGCTTCTGTTTAGTAACCATGTCTGTTTTATATACTTTATTCAGTAGGACTTGAGTATGTAGGAAATTATTACTTAGCAAGTAATTTTAAATTTCTCAAAAATTCCCAAAGGAACACTGTGTATTTGTGACCCCTTGAACTATATTTTGTGTGCTCTGCTCATTTGGGACAGTTGGGACATCTTCTATTACCTTTTTGCTCAGTTCTAAGTCCACTTTGCCCAATTCGGCCTGTGTCTCTGGCTCTTAGATTCCCATAAAGTGCTTTCTATGGATATTTGTTTATTTGCTTTTAATTTACACTATACATTACTTTTAAATTATTTTGTCTGGGTGTTTTGCCTGTGTGTATGTCTCTGTGCCATGTGTTCCTGGTGCCCAAAGAGCCAAGAAAAGGGTATTGAATCCCCCAGAACTGGAATTATAGACATTTGTAATCTCTCAGGTGGGTGCTGAGAATAGAACCCAGGTCCTCTAGAAGAGCAATCAGTACTCTTACCTTCTGAGCCATTTCTCCAGCCTTGTAAATTTTTTTTGAAAATACTACTTTTATTTATAATTTTGTGTGTGGGGGTGTGCGTGTGAATGTAGGTACTGACAGAGTATAGAGGCAGTGAACCCTCCTGAAGCTAGAGGTAGAAGATCTTGGTGCTGGGAACTGAACTTAGGTCCAGTAGTATACACTCTTAACCACTGGGTCATCTCTCTAGTCCCTGCTGGGTGTGTGTGTGGGGGGGGGGGGGGGGGGGCCCCAGCCACTAGAGGGCAGTGGTGGAGCGTGAATCAGTCGAGGGTGTTAGATCCCTTGGAGCTGTAGTTGCAGGTGGAAGTGGGCTGCCAGTGGTGCTGGGAACCAAATACGACTACTCTAGAGGAGCAGCAAATGTTCTTAAATACTGAACCTCGTCTCTAAGCCCTGAACTGGTTTTTGTTTGTTTTTAACAAATATTTAAAAATATTTATTCTCTCTGTGTGTGTTTGCATGCTCTGGCAAACCTGTGAGTTTAGAGAACACCTTGTGGGAATGGAAGTGTTTACTTCCACTGTGTGGGCTCTAGGAGTTAGACTAGACTCAGGTCATTAGGCTCAGTGGAAGGGCTCTTACCTGCTGAACCATCTCACTGGCTTAGGCCCTGAACTCTTGATCTTCCTACCTCAGGCTCCCAGCCGCTAGCATTACAGGTGTGTGCGTAACTGCCATTTTATGTGAGTTACTACAGTATTGTGTGTCTCGATGTTTTTTTATTTGCTGTGACTTTAACATTTTAATTCATAAAGGCTGCAGAGGCTTGTAATAAATAGTGTGTGACAAGGAAGTGAAAGTGAAAGCTTCAGCCTCTCTCTCCCACCCCACTCTCAGAGGCAGCCAGGTGACAATGCACATCTGCCTCCTTAGTCATACAATCGGGGTGTGGTGGCATGTGCTTGCAGTGTCAGCCTGGACCACATGGGAAGATCCTGTCTCCAAAAACAAATCCCTTAAGTTTTGAGAATGTAGCTCACTGAATTCAATCTTCACCCCCAATGCCCTGAAATGATCGTGAATTAAAGTACTTCTTTGAAAAACATTTATCATGTCTTGTCACAAATATATATATGATCTCTCACTTATTGCTGGCATGTTGGTACAGATCTGTAATTTCAGTACTGGGGGACTGAGGCAGAAAGATGGAGAGTTCAAGGCCAGCCTAGGCTATATAATATTGTGGGACCGTGTCTTAGAACAATAACAAACAAAAAGCATTACTTAAATATTGAACTGAGTACCTGGCCTGAGAGTTTCAAGTACCTACCAGGCCTACCACTCAAGTCTGTCTGCACACATGCTCATTAGCTATTAGGAACTACCATGGGACTAAAATTCTATGAACAATTAAATCATATTATCATATTTTCATATTTTCACTTGAAGGTTGCAAACAAAGTTTGCTTCAGGGCCCAAACGGGTTAGTTCGTTATTTTCTGCATTTATAGCATTGGGACTGGTGGAGATTTTGGCGAACTTTAACAAAGGGGACAGCCATTAAGTTACAGATGGGAATGGAGTTGCTAGGTTTACCCTTTGTCAAGGCAGGCAGAAACTCTTAGTTTTCAGAACTCAGGATTTGCTCACAGGCCATCAATATGTGTCCTCTGTTCTAACTACTATTGGCCAGAATTTGGTGAGCTCAGCAAATCTCATTTTATAGACCATTAGGTTATTCACTTGTCAACTGTTTTGTTGATCTACAAATTTTGTCTTTTAGCACGTCGGGTTTGGAAGAATTATCTCCCAGCGATTAATGGGATAGTTTTTCTGGTGGACTGTGCGGATCATTCTCGTCTCATGGAATCCAAAGTTGAGCTTAATGTAGGTTTATATCTTTATATATCTTTTCCTGTCTTAACGCTTGTTTTAAGAACTACAACTCAGTAATGCCAGTACTTAATGTGGCCAGAGTCCTAGATTTTTAAATCTGAGATATGCTTTTTTTTTTTTTTTTTTTTTTTTTTCCTTTGGAGCCTATCCTGGCACTTGCTCTGGAGACCAGGCTGGCCTCGAACTCACAGAGATCCGCCTGTCTCTGCCTCCCGAGTGCTGGGATTAAAGGTGTGTGCCACCAACCCCTGGCTATGGTTTGTTTTTTAAAAGATGTATTTATTTTGTTTTATGTATATGAATGTTTTGCCCAAATCTATATATGGACGTTATGTGCTTGCCTGGTTCCTGCAAAGGTCAGAGGAGGGCAGTGGATTCCCTGGAAATGGAGCTAATGAATAATAAACAATTGTGAGCCATCATGTGGATGCTGGGATAGATTCTCTGGAAGAGCAGCCATTGCTCTTAACTAACTGCTGATCCATTTCTCTAGCCCGGTGAGATCTAGTTTTTCAGTGTCCTGAGGAACCTCATTTTGAACTTGAATAACTAGTTTTATAGTTATTTGACCTTATGTTTTAAGGTTGACTGATATCTCAAGTGCTGCCTGTTGTCCCAGCCTAGTTAGTAGTGTTCCCTTGAGGTTGCTTTTTTTTTTTTGGTTTTTTGAGACAGGGTTTCTCTGTGGCTTTAGAGGCTGTCCTGGAACTAGCTCTTGTAGACCAGGCTGGCCTCGAACTCAAAGAGATCCGACTGCCTCTCCCTCCAGAATGCTGGGATTAAAGTTGTACACCACCAATGCCCAGCTTTGTGGTTGCTTTTTATGTAGTCTTGATTAGTCAAACTCTGAGAGAGTTTTTATCCTCTGCTAGCACTCTTCAGTTTTTTACTCACTTTCACTTTGGGTTTTCTCCTTTGTCAGACTTTCTATAATAATGTTCCTTGTAATGCCTATTCCTTCACCTATATCTCATCATTTCTGTTTTAAAAAATATTTTATATGTGTATTTGCATGCATGTATGTATGTGCACCACATGTATGCCTGGTGCTTATGGAGGCCATGTCATATCTCATGGAACTGGAGTTTCAGAAGATTGTGAGCTGGGTGCTGAGAACCAAACCCAAGTCCTCCACAAAAGCAGTGCTTTGAATCACTTAGCCATCTCTCCAGTTCCTTTCTCTTTCTTTATGAGTGTTCCTTTCACTCTTCCTGCAATTTGAGCCTGTCTCAGGTTTTTTGTTTTTGTTTTTTTTTGTTGTTGTTTTTTTTTTTGTTGTTTTTTTTTTTGGTTTTTTGAGACAGGGTTTCTCTGTGGCTTTAGAGGCTGGCCTGGAACTAGCTGTTGTAGACCAGGCTGGTCTCGAACTCACAGAGATCCACCTGCCTCTGCCTCCCAAGTGCTGGGATTAAAGGCGTGCGCCACCAACGCCTGGCCCTGTCTCAGGTTTTTTAATTTATGTTTCTAATGCTTAGGTCTTATTTGGTGTGGAACTAGCTGCTTTCCTTTCTTTTTTTTTTTTTTTAAGGTTTTATTTATTATGTATACAACATTCTGCTTCCATGTATATTTACACACCAGAAGAAGGCACCAGATCTCATAACAGATGGTTGAGAGCCACCATGTGGTTTCTGGGAATTGAACTCAGGACCTCTAGAAGAGCAGCTGGTGCTCTTAACCTCTGAGCCATCTCTCCAGCCCCAGCTGCTTTCCTTTCTAAAGCTCTACTTTTCTCTTTTTTTCCCCCATGCTCATTGGTATTTTGCCTGCATGTATGTCTGTGTGAGGGTGTCAGAAACCCTGGAAATGGAGTTACAGACAGATGTGAACTGCCATTGAGAATTGAACCCAGATCTTTTGGAAGAGCAGCCAGTGAGTGCTCTTGACCACTGAACCATTTTTCCATCTCCTACTTTATACTCTTGATTAAGTTTTTATTTTATTAATTTATTTGGCTTTTGGGAGACAGGGTCTTGCTGTGTAGGTTGCAAGAGTGCACCACATGCCCAGCCAGTGTTAGCTCTTGCACTTGTTCGTCTGCCTGGTCCTAAATGGACTATCCTGAAGTTTCTTCCATCTCGTCTGCATGGTAGTGCTTCCCAGTGAAACTCTCATCCACACCTGCTGAGATCCAGCCTTATAGTGCTGCCTGCTAGATCCGTCCTTCCCAAAGTCAAGCTATCGATTGCTCCTCTCCACCATCCTGGACATGCTCTGAACTGTTGTAGATGCCCCTACCACCTGCCATGCAGCAGAGTCCCAGAGGGAACTTTTCACACAATCCCCTCCTTGTTTCCTTTAATGGTTTCAATCCCTTTCAGGGAAAAACACACATGTTCTCCCTGTTCTTCCAGCTCTGCTTTCCTGTTAGTGAGAATCAGGTGCCCAGTCTTGAAATCCATGCCAGCCCTGTCTTCTCTTTTGCCTGATAATAATTGTTTTAGACATTTACTTCAATTCTTCCCGGAATCCTTCTTGCTTGCACAATCCATTAAATTCTGCTGTCTTATAGATCATCTCATATACGAGCACGACAGATAGACAGTGTTTATCACTGTCCTGAAAGTGTAGATTTGTTGACTTTAGGTTCACGTTCTTTAAGATCTAGTGCAACTTAAATTTGCAAACTGGAGCTGTGACATGGGTCGTTGGTTGCCATCACATTTGCTCTGTTGCTGCACATCTGTGTAAATGTCTTAATTCAGTTAAGCAGTGCTCTGTGTGGCTTCTTAAATTCTCATAATGTTACAGAGCCATTATTTGTGTTCTTCCCTCTTTTCACTTACCAAGTTCTGCCCTTCCTGTAGAGCCAGCCCAGCTTCTTTTGGTTTTTTGAGACAGGGTTTCTCTGTGGCTTTGGAGGCTGGCTGTCCTGGAAGTAGCTCTTGTAGACCAGGCTGGTCTTGAGATCCGCCTGCCTCTGCCTCCCTAGTGCTGCAGCCCAGTTTCTATTCCACATCTTGACTAAGATTTTGTTCAAGCATGAATTGGGATGTTTCCCTGAACATGCTTGTGTTGACTTTCTCAGTTCATTTTGACAGTCAGTATGTTCTGTTTTTGCCTAGGTTTGTTAACATAAACATGAACCCAGGGCATCTCACTTGTGATGATCTTGGCACCTAATGACAAGGTGATCCGTTCATCAGATGCTAAGAGGAACTCATGATACCTTATAAAATGAATAGAAGTTGACTTTTATTATGTGATGAGTTTTTCATTTCATAAGTTGCTCACTTGGATTTGTTTGTTTGTTTTTTAATCCTGTCTTTAGGCTTTAATGACTGATGAAACAATATCCAATGTGCCAATTCTTATCTTGGGAAACAAAATTGACAGGACAGATGCAATCAGTGAAGAAAAACTCCGTGAAATATTTGGGCTCTATGGACAGACCACAGGAAAGGTAAGAAAAAAAGTCTTAAGGAGGCATGAAGAGGACACCCACCATACTTAAAAGTGGGTGCTTTTTCTTTTTTGTTTCTTGAGACAGGGTCTCTTCAGTGTGAATATTTTATCAGGGGCATATCCTTTAGCCACAATCCTCCTTCCTCTCCTTTTTCCTTTCCTCCTTCCCAGTGATACAAAAAGGGCCTTGAACCCAGGGCATTGTACATGCTGAGTAAGTGCTGTACCACTGAGCCATGCTGCTACCTCTTTCTTTACCTGTTTTAATAATACCTGGTATTTGAAGAAATTGTAGAAGAGGCAGTTTTCTTTTAATATTTTATGGTATGGGTGTTTGCCTGTGTACCATGAATATGTAATGCCCATGGATGTCAGAAAAGGGTGTTAGATACCCTGGAATTGGTGTTAGAGATGGTTGTTAGCCACCATTGGATGCTAATATTTATTTATTTTGGGATTTAAAAAAATTAGTTGTTATTACTATTTTGAGACAAAGTCTATGTAGACCAGGCTAGCCTTGAACTCATAGAGATCTGCCTGTCTCTGCTTCCCCAGTGCTGGGATTAAAGGCATGTGCCAGCACAGTTGGCTTCGGTCTTAAAGAATTTTCTGGGACTGAGAAGATGGCTCAGCAGTTAAGAGTAGGTCTTGCTCATACAGAGAACCCAAGTTTATTTCTTAGTACCTGTGTTAGGCAGCTCACAACCACTTGTAACTCTAGCTCCAGGGAATCTGACATCACTTAATGGCCTCAGTGAACACTCCATTCACCTGCACATTTCATAATTAAAACATAAAAATAAATCTTATTTATGCTTTCCAAGTATTAAGTTCAAAGCACTTGATTATCCTCAGTGCTTCTTGCTGATAGATGTGAAACTATTATCCCATTTTGCAAATGAGGAAATAGTTTGTTCAGGTTCATATAGCAAATGGATAATAAAACCAGATATATAACTGGAATGCCCTATTTCAGTATGCCCTATAGTGTGAAGAGAGGCTCTGGTCTAGAAAAGCAGGCTGATAAGAGAAAGAATACAGAAATAAAACCTGGTACTTAACGTATGTGTACATACTTGCTTATTTATGTAGAGATCTGAGGTCAACTTTAGCTGTCATTCTCAAGAAAAGAATTTGGCACTCATTTATTGAGCTTTTGGCGGGGGCACATAATTTCCATTTGTTTATTTATTTAGACAGGGTCTTTTTGTATAGCCTTGGATGACCTAAAACTATAAACCGGATTCTGATTCACAGAGATCCACCTGCCACTGCCTCCAGAGTGCTGGCATTAAAGGTGTGCGCCACCATGCCTGGTTTAGATCCATAGTCTTCATTCATTATCGTTTTATTTCTAGAAATGCTTTCAGGCCAGGTGTGGTGCACATTGAGGGCAGCCCAGGCTACACAGTGAAAACTTGCCTTTGTTGCATTTATTTATTTGTGTGGGTATGAATGCTTCCTTCTCCTTTAAGCCGATTTGGTTGTCCTCTTCCTATGAATGCTACATACACATCAGTTTCTTCCATGCAACCTGACATTGTTGTTTCTGAATGCTTATGTTAATGTTGTTTTGTCTATCGTAGAACATGCTGGGTCCATGGGTCCCTAAAGTTTTCCTCACAGTTCCTTGTCATAACTGCCCAGGTGAATGCTGGACATTCAGAGCAAATGCTTTTCAGAGATACAGGATGAGGCAGTGTGTAGAAGCTGTTAATTTTTATTCTGAAGCAAGAGGCCTCGGAAGTCATCTGTGTGTCTATACACATTTTGCAGTTACAGTCTATGTGTAATTGTGCTTTTGCAAGGGGAGGTGCTAACAGGCCTTTCTGGCTTTTTCCTCCCTTAGGGAAATGTGTCTCTGAAAGAGCTGAACGCCCGCCCCATGGAAGTATTCATGTGCAGTGTGCTCAAGAGGCAAGGCTACGGCGAGGGTTTCCGCTGGCTCTCCCAGTATATTGACTGATGTTTGGACAGTGAAAATAAAGAGTTTTTCTTCTGGACTGATCCTATTCACAGCTTCCTCATGGACTTTTCTAATAGAACAAGGAGAGCTCTCCAACCATGTCTGGCGTTGAGAAGCCATGCATCTCTGTCTACGCTCATCGCCCAGTGGTGACATGTGCTCTTCTCCACTCATGGGAAGTAACACTGCCTGTCTGCTGATGCAGGTCAGTGTGCAGGGACTGGGGCTGGCAGGATTTGCCAGGAAAAGCTGGGTGCCATCATGGGACACCTGGAAAGAAAAACACGTCTCACCACTGGTTGATTTCAAAAGAAAGTGATTCTATTTTTTAAAGAAAGTGTTGTTAATGTAATTGGTATCCCTTCTCTAACTTTTTGAGTTCACAATTTACTTGGTCCAAATTTTCTATTCTTTTTTTTTTTTAACTAGTAAATGAAATTTAGATACTTCATAAAATTATGAACAGATAGCGCACTGAAGGCCAGAGCTCCGCTGTCTAACTGCCTTGTTGGAGGTGGCGCCGAAGCACAAGTGCTAGGAGAGGATGGAGCCTTGGCCTTACCCGGGGCAGTCTCCATTGTGGTAAGAGGAGTCCCTCATCTGGAGTGGGAAAGTGTCATTGTTACATTGCCAGCTTTACTTGCAGTTAACAGTTTCTGCAGGCTTTGCTTTTATACTGTTGTGGACTTTCATCTCTCTGTGTAGCACCTTCCTTTTTTCACTGTAGATATAAAAAGTGACTTTTGCCTCATGAAAGAGTTCTTATCTCTTATGTAGACCCCATACTGAGTGTCTTAAGCCTCTGAACGGATTCTAGAGGGATGTATGGGTTCTGAACAGGAGGACACAGGTCACAATCAACAGCTTAAGGCTCTGACTTCTGTAAGTAGAGGACCTCTGTGTCTGCTCTGGTAACAAGTGAACCTAGGGAAGACTTTGATTGAGCTTTGTGCTTTCCACTCCAGAAGCAAGCAGAGAAAACACGAAATGGCCTTCCTGCCTGGCTTTGGGGGCAGCTCCTGGCAACAGTGAGCACTGGTGGGAAAGCAGCAGCATCCCTCTTAAGGATTGATTATGAACATGATTCTTATAGCATTTGGTTTACTTGGGTTTTCATGATGTTAACTTTATATTCTCTCCTTGTAGTAGATGGCAGGAGGGATGGTCCGCAGAAGGGAGGTTATCTTGCTGCTTATTTCCTTTATTGTGAGGTGAGAAGTATGTTCTTAAGTGACAATGACGATGTTGCTGCATTGTGACAGGCTTGTGTCCAGAAAGAGGAGAGTGCTACCCACCTTCCCTACCCTGGGGAGTGAGTTCTCGCTCGTTAGTGTTAGTTTTGAACACTGAGCTTCTGGGGCAGTGTTCTGTTACACTGCCAGGTTCCCAGTGTAGAGACTTGGTGAGGTTATCTTGTCTGCAAAGTGTATGCCTTGTGTTCACCCATAAATAGCCGGAATGAGATCTGTCAGTGTGGAAAAGGGTTGTTAAAGCCTTAATGAAGGAACCTAGCTGGCGGTGAGTGAACTAGGGTAGGTTCTGGTATGCTTTTCATTACTTTTGGCTAAAGGTTTCCCATGTGGTCTCTGTCACATGACACATGACAGGTGTGATTGCCTCAGTGTTGGTTTCCTTATTTGTCTTTCTCATTTGTCCCTAATCACCCTGTAGCGAGCTAGAGGACTGGACTCTGCCCAGGGCGGCTCTTTGTGAAAGTGGTTTATTTTGGCCACTGGAGAAAGAGATGACTGAAAAGTGGCACCAGTCTGATTCCTGCCCCGCAGACACCATCCTAAATAAAGTGGCCAAAAGAAGCTGCCGCAGTGAGCACAGCTCCACCAGAGGGTCAGGGCCTTCCTTGTGCGGGGGCTCAGATGAATGGAAACTCCATTCTGTTTATCAGAGTGCACATGTGTCCTATTTCAGCAAAAGTAAAACTGTCATTTACAAAAAGGTCAGTCTGTAGCCTAAGCATTTTAATAAAAAGCTAAAATGAACTTGCCTCTTTTTTTTTTTTTTTTTTTTTTTTTTTTTTTTTTTTTTTTTTTTTTTTTTTTTTTTTGCATTGATTTGTTTAGAGCAAACATGCAGTTTGGGAGGAAAAACAAACTTCTTTCCTTACACATAGGAACATTGAGAGTGAATGTGATACTTGAATTGCTACCAGGATAAAAAAGCAAAATAAAAAGGTTGGGCACTACTAGTAGCAAATGTCGTAGTGCTGTTTGAGCATCTTGGATCATGCTGGGGGCCTGAGGTGGTTGACCATCTCTGCAACAGAATGCCAGTGACTTGTGCTGGAGCAGACTAACAGCCCTCATTCCACACACCGGAGTGAACCATTACAGAGCCACACTTGGCAAAACAGACGTCTGTGGTTCTGCCTTTACAGTTGCTTATAGAAAGCACCAGAGGACAGAGAACCAAATAGAACAGGTTTTTTTGTTTGTGTTTTGTTTTTGGAGACACAGTTTCTCTTGAGTAACAGTCCTGGCTGTCCTAGAACTCACTCTGTAGACCAGACTGTCCTCAAACTCACAGAGATCTCTCTGCCTCCAGAGTGCTGGGAGTGAAGACCTGTACCACCACTGCCCGGCCACAACACGTTCTTTAAGGCAAAGAAAGGATCATGCTGGATGTGCCCAGGGGTCACCATTACAGTGGAAATAGACCGTGGTTCTGTGGGCAAAGGGTCTGTATACAGGGGCTAGAGGAACCAGTAAGTCTAGATCTGAGGTCCTTAACGCTGCCTGCTGCCTGCTGCCTGCTTACTTTGACTTCTGTGCTGTGGTCTGCCCTAAACACAAAAGCTTGATAAGGAAGAGGGTGTTGGAGGCTTGAGGTGCATCAAGGTGGAATTGTTGGATTCTAGAGAGAAAGTCTTAATTGACAGGAAGTTGAGGAAAGTAAGAGATCTTGTGTCACCTGTGTCCAGGGCTGTCTACCTGAGAAAGCTGTTTTATTCCAGCTCTACCCCGCTCATCCGGCTTCCCATATCATATAGGTTGTGTCACCAGGAGCATTGGAAGCAGTAGGTATGCCCACTGGGGGAGCAACATGGCAGTGCCAATTTTATTCAGAGAAGTTATACAACAAAACAGCAAATGGATTTTTTTTTTCATTAATGCTCACAGGTATGCTAGAAGTTTCACTAGACGTTAACACATATTTTAGTCATCCAAGAATCCCTCTGAAACAAACTGTGGAACTCACTCCTCTGGGAGCTCATGAAGTCTCCAAACACCTGTTCTCACTTGTCCTCAGACATGATTTGGGAAGTGGTGTGTAGGGGACAGTGTAAGCCATGCCTGCTAGAAGCTGGCTACAGGTGTGCCTGACCATGCCTGTCAGGGAGTGGTCAAGGTGAGGTCAGGATGACGCCTGACAGGGTTTTAAAGGGGCTGCAAGGCACATGGGAGCCCCTTCTCTCTGGCCTCCCTGCCTTGCTGCCCCTGGCACGCTCTGGCTTGCGTTTGGCTGGTGTTTATCTAAATAAAGATATCTTAACCTTACAGGCTACGAATCATCTCGTATCAGTGGTGAGCTTTTTTATTGTAGTTACGTGTATGTGTGTTTGCCTGCCTGGGTCTGTGTACAGCATTAATGCGGGAGACAGCAGGTGCCAGAATTGGTCGTTGAATACTGTGGAACTGTAATTAGAAGCAATTGTAAGCTGCCATGTGGGTATGGTACTGGGAACCAAACTAGGGTTCATGGTTAAGAACAGTAATGAATAGCTCTTAACTGCTGAGCCTTCTTGAAAGTCTTGATTTTTACACTTGTAAATATGGGGGAGGCCAATTTTGTGATACGAACTATATATGAAATTCAAATTTATGAGGCTGTTCCATGTTGTGTTGAGTATTTGGAGGTGGATACTGTGGAGCCCTCAAAACCTGAACTATTTCATTCTGGACTTTTCAAAGAAAGTATTTACGTAAATCCTGGTCTAACGTAAATCCTGAGTGGTGTTAGAAATGTCATGTGAAATGCTTATGCTCGTTAGAATAATGTATAAGGTTAAAGAATTTAACGTGTGTGTGTGTGTGTGTGTGTGTGTGTGTGTGTGTGTGTGTGTGTGTGTGCAGCTTTAATCCCAGAATTGTAAAAAGCTGAGGCAGAAGGATCGCCAAAGTTCGATGCTAATGTGGACTAACTAGTGGGACCCCCCTTCTCAGAAACAAACTTAAGATTGTCCCACATGGCCTCCTCACTGATATCTGGTGAGGGGAGGCAGCCCGGGGCTCTTGGGGGTGCTCTAAAAGCTAGATTGGTGGTGTGAGAATTTTGATAGCTGTCCTAGGAGCAATTTTGTGACTCGTGTGCCTCCTGGTGGATTGTTATAGGATTTACTTTAAAATTCAAAGTAGATAATCCATCAAGGGTTCCCATGGCATATGTCCCAGCTTCAGGGACAGCTTACACCTGTGCAAGAGGCTGTGGGGACCAGTTATATGCCGTCCAAGTACGAGATTTGACTGGGCAGTGATGCCCTCCGTGAGTCTTCCTGTGATGCTACACGTCTGTTGTCCAGGAGGTTCCTCTTGAGAACCCCTTTCCCAAGGGCCCCAGGTTGGATAAAACAGAGGGCGGGGAAGGAGGATAAGCGTCAGTAGCCAATGGGTACTCGGCGCCATGCCCAGCCAATAGGGGCAGTCGCTTGGGGCTTAGCCAATCGGGCTCTACGAGGAGACCTGAGTCAGCGCGTGCGCCGGTCGCCCTTTGGTGACAGCCATTGTGCGACAACTTGGGGAAGCCATGGGACGGCAGTGGGGGCCCTCCATGAAGGTGGCAGAGCAGGCGGGCTGCGTGGTGAGCGCCTCGCGGGCCGGGCAGCCCGACGCAGGCTCGTGGAGTTGCAGCGGGGTGATCCTGAGCCGCAGCCCAGGCCTTGTGCTGTGCCACGGGGGCATCTTCACCCCCTTCCTGCGGACGGGCAGCACGGCGCTGACCCAAACGGGTGCCACCTTCCTGCCCGGTGACAGTTGCAGCGATGAC